GTGTGTGTGTGTGTGTGTGTGTGTGTGTGTGTGTGTGTGTGTGTGCGCGCGCGCGCTCACATGCCCACGGGTGGCAGGGGCTGGGTCTGTGAGGTTACCTGGTGCAGCGGGAGGCAGCAAGGCAGGACTTCTTCCTTTGACCTCCTCCCTGGGCGTCTCTGGCAGCTTGCTCAAGCGATCCGCCTGCTCCTGGAGTACACAGACTCACCCTATGAGGAGAAGAAGTACACCATGGGGGACGGTAATGGCATCCACCTCGCAGTCTGACTTTTGCCCTATTCCTGCTGATCTGGTACCTAGCACCCTTTGCCCTGGCCACCTGCAGCTCCCTTTGCTGCCCTCCCCCAGCTGGAGCAGGGCCCGCCCTTCCCTAACTCCTTCCAGGTGCAGCTGGCCTTAGGAGGCAAGACATGAGAGGGCATTGCTGGACCCCCTGTATGGGATTTGGGATGGGTTCCCCCTAGGGTTTGCATAAACATTTTGTAAACCTATTCATGCAGGTTCCAGAATTATGAGTGTTCTTTGCCCCCACACCTGGACTGTGAGACTTAGTGTTCCCGATTCCAGATCCCCCTCTTGGAGAGCTTGGCCACTGATCCCCCCAACCCCCAACCTCCTCCCCAGACCCAATGAGAGTGGGCTCTGGGGGGTTGGCTTCACTCCATCTTCTCCACCACAGCTCCGGACTATGACAGAAGCCAGTGGCTGAATGAAAAATTCAAGCTGGGCCTGGACTTCCCCAATGTAGGTGCAGGGGGTGGCGACAATGTGGGGGCAAGTGAGAGGGGTGTCTACACTGCCTGCTTTCCCAGCTCCAAGGTGACCAGATTTGCCGGCTTCTGCTAGCTTCTCTGCTTCCTGGTTCTTGTCCCTGCCTGTCCCCCATGCTCTCTGCTCCAGCTCATTCCTCCATTTTACAATGGATTGATTAAGCAGCTAGCAGGGGCAGGCCGTGTGAGTGCCAGGTTTCGTGTCTCCCCTTTCTTAAGGGAGAGGGTGCCGGGGAGCCCGTGGCCTACCCACCTGCCCGTGTTGTCCTTATAGCTGCCCTACTTAATTGATGGGACTCACAAGATCACCCAGAGCAACGCCATCCTTCGCTACATTGCCCGCAAACACAACCTATGTGAGTGGGCTGGGGTCGGGATGCGGGGAGCGGTGGGGTGCCCCTGGGCCTGCCTGGGTGGGATGCTGAGGGTGAGTGTCTGTTGTGTTGGCTGTAGGTGGGGAGACAGAAGAGGAGAAGATTCGCATGGACATTTTGGAGAATGAGGTTATGGACAACCGCATATACTTTGGCAGGATCTGCTACAACCCTGACTTTGTGAGTCCCGTCCCTGGGAGCTGGGATGGACAGGGTTTTGAGGGCAGCTGGACTCTTGTGTGCCATCTACACTGCATCTCATTGTCACGTGAACCCTGAGGAGTGACTGATTTCCAAGCCACTCCCTATACTTTCACCAGAGTGACCCTCATATCTCAAGGCATGCGATGAACACTGTGACTCTCAGTTCCTTAGGGTATTAACCTTAGGGTAGAGTCAGTGCCCCGGGTGGAAATTCGGTTCCTGGATGGTGTGTTTACTTTGTTCGCTCAGCACTGTCTTCCTGACAGCCCCAGGCCTGAGCACAACTGGCCAGCAAGCAGAGCAGGGAGATACGGCTTTGTAGCTTCCTCTCCTCTGTCTCTCAAACTCCACACCTTTCCAGGGACTGCTCAAGGACCGCTGCTATCTGTCTCCCAGCAGGCAGAACTGGGGACTCGTTTCCCCAGGCCATTTCAATTGATTACTTCATTGCCTCTTGGAGATGAGTGGTGACAGATCTAGGGACAGCAAGGTGGGGTTCTCTGCCTTCCCACAGCCTCCCACAGGTGGGAGGTGGGACCCAGTAGGATCTGCTGAACACAGCTTGGAGAAATCATCACCTGGGCAATGATGCCCCCTCCAGTGAGGGGCCAGGGCCACTCACCTCTGGCAGCTGGGGGTCAGGCACAGCCCGGGGACACCTGCCTCTCTGCCATGGGAGTCTGAGTCTGAGGGTGGTGACGGCTGTTCTGTGCCTCAGGAGAAACTGAAGCCTGGGTACCTGGAGGGCCTCCCTGACAAGATGAAGCTCTACTCACAGTTTCTGGGGACGA